AGCTGATCCTCTAGCGTATATTATAACAACTCTATGGTCAGCGTCCCTCAGCATCTCGTCACGGGCACTAACTGAGCGTTGGAAGAACGCAGCACGACGCGCAACGGAGACGCGATCTAAAAATATCAGACTTTGCTCGCCAGGGGGCTCTGCTCCCTGGCGAGCAAGCCAGGATACTATATTTTCTCCTCGAGTACATCAGAAACGCGTCCCGCCATGTTTCTGAAAGCACAGACAAGCAATTTCCACCAGCTCGAGCGTTCGTACTAGAAATTCGATGACGCGCTTAGAAACTCATTCACCGCAATTTTCTCACGTCGAGAGTGCTTACTATAAACGTGTCGATTTCACGCGGTGTTCAGTAGAGATCCCGGAGGAAGCAGGATTTCTGAATGGGAAGTCGAACAGAGATACGTGAATATCTCTCTCCCCCTCGCTCCCTTTCTCGTCACTACGCAAAATATTAACGCTCGTGAGCAGGGTTGCCGCAAGAAAGGGCAAATGTCTGTGCGTTTGTGTGTTTTTTTCCCACGTTGTGTTTCATTTCCTCCTCACGTGGCAGCATTCTGATCCGAAAGACTTGGAGTGGGTTGCTGAGAAAGGTGCCACTTCTGCGAGGAGGCCAATGTTCCGGATGGACTTTCCGGAGTCATCAGGTTGCGATTGCGACTTACGGATTTTAGCCACTTTTGCCCGAAATAAAGCAAGATGATTCCTTAATAGAACATACCAAGATAAGCTTTTTTTTTCTGCAACTATAATAACGTAGATCTTGAATAACTGGCCGGTTCCCCCTCATTCCGTTCTCTTTTGGAGATTATGAAATAAAACTAGATTGTTGTTTGGGAAAAGAAAATATTACACAATAATACATTTTAATTTTGATTCATTTAAAAAAATATATTAAAAATAAATATTACACAAAATCTACGAATGATTATTAAAAAAATGAACTAGATTGCATTCTGAATTTTTTATGGAACCACAGTTTGAAGGAAGGACTATGTTCCTGAATTACGTTAAAGCTTTGCATGGAGACGATTTGAAGCTGGCCACTGATGTGGATTACCCTTCATACCCCAAACTTTACTTTAAATACTACAGAACTACAAACTCTCACATGGTTTTAGAACACAAAGAATAACAGAAATCTGGCATTGGAAAAAAATAAATTACCTCTCTCCGCAAAAACGTTTTTGAAATGGTGCTCGTGAGCATCATTGGGAATTAACGACGCTACTTCACGCCGAACGAATGAGAGCATTTACCACACGGGAGAGGGCCAGGCGCATTTTGAATTTCGCACCGTAGAGAAAGGTATAACCGAATTCGCAATATTGGCGCCGGTCTTCTCGCAGTTTTGAAGCCAGCGGTGCGCGCCATCATACCTGACATCCACTGTCGGCTTCGGTTTTGAAGGACGAGTGATCTGTTTTGAAGATGCATTTCGATCCTCCACTGCTAAATGCAGATGTCCTCGTCTTTGCGACAGGGGGCGCTTAATTTATGGAGGCGCACGTGGCACGGGAAAAAATAAATAATTCTTGAGTAACGCTGGGCATCAAAGGGTATTGAGCTTCTGGAACTATTCTTTTATATGGGACTACCGATCACTTAAATAAAGCAAAATGCCTTATCTACCTTACCAGACAAGAAACAAAATTCGTTGTTTTAGGTAATAAAATAGCTAATAGGTCTGATTTGATTCGTTTAATATAAAAAAAGATAAGCCTCTACAAAAACAGAATCCGCATCATCATTATCATCATCATCAGACAGCGTTCGCGTGTTCCATATAACTTTTATGAGCACTGTGCCTGACAGCTTACATACCAGTTAAGCTAACTACAGCGCAAAGAAAGACGAGGACGAATGTCCCGTGCGCTTCACTCCGTCATTGTCTTTTAGTGGGCTGCACCCTTAACTAGTCATGAACCAAATCGCCCACATTGCCACTATAGTCCCTTACATACTTTTAGCTTACAGGGGGAATGAAACGATATCGGGTTCGAATGTTAATGACTTTACAGAGACCTACTGGTCCTGGTAAACTCGCACGTACCGCTGCTGATTCAGAAGCTTCTTGGTCGCGGTGAAATTGCGAGGATAAATGGGGGCCATTTCTTTCAGTCTTGCCTTCGCAAAGCTAGATGACGTAATTGTGGGATGGAAACCACCCACCTGGACATCAGTCGAGCTCGGCTCATGGATTGGACGCGAGAACTGCGTGATCACTCGACTTCAGCTTGTAACAATCAAAGCCTCGGCGGGCACTCGGGTAGTTGTCATGTCCAACCACTGCGGTGATGAGAATATCCGAGCTTCAACAATGCTTGAAGCTCAGCACGCGTTTTCTACTTTGCCGACCCCAGCGCGTGGCTATGACTAACAGCAGTTTACGTGGCCGCTTGTTCTGGCTACAAGTTGAGGGGATGAACGATGCTCGTATTTCTCGAATTTATTTTCCGACTGCCATAGCTTAGAAAGAAAAACTAAGTTAAGTTTCTCCGGTTGATAACGTTAGTGAGTGATTCTGAGTAGTATTTAGAGAAACTAGAAAAATCGTTTCATGGCTCCTTTAAAACTAAAGTCCTGAAATGTTGCTGCAAGCTGGAACCATTTTCATTCGTGCTTCTGAACCTGTCTTTCGTCATTAAGTGCTAACAACACGAAGCAACCTTTAACTGAACAATAATAGCGTTGTAGGCAACTCTGTATATGTTTTACGGAGACTTCACGCGGTATTTGATAGCACGATCGGTGGTCAAGTCGTGTATCCGCCCAATGCACCCGGATTAGGATCTTGATGCCCTAAAAGCTTTATTATAATTTTTTTTCAGAAGGAAAAAAAAACATTGTTTCTTTTTTTTGTTTTGATTTCTTTTTGTGAGAAAATAATCGCATTTGTTTTGATAAGTTCAGAAAAACAATTATCTGATCTGAGCTTATGTTGAGAATACATTTTATAGAAGTCAAGAAATGACTGTAGTATTATTGCGCTTTCCCGCCCATTATAATTTCTTTAAATGTTATGGTACATCATAACGCCTAATGACGCACTTTCCCACAGAGCACTTGGAGAGAACCGATCACTGCAAATGATTGGATTCAGCGAATAATGAGATGTCTGCTATAAAATGTCCGCTATGTCACTTTTAGCGTCGTTTCTCACGATCGGTGTCCCCGACTCAGATCACATATTCCGGGTCAGGTCGCTTTCTGGACAAAATCAGTCGCTGGACTCCTTCCCAAATTGATCAGGGTGATTTTCTTCTCCCGCCCTTTACGGAAAAGTTGGCACGCTGACAATTTTTCACTGTATTTTGGATCGTGGTGTCTGTACGTACACTCGAAAACAACTTAAAAACACACACACACAAAAATTAAAACAGAACGTGCAGATTTAGGACAGCGTCCTTGGCTTTGCGATGGATCCTCCGTTGTGCTTCTCTTGTGGTGATTCGACTTTCAAAGGATGATCACTGATGATATCAGCGCCGGCAACTCCCTTTTCTTCTTAATCTGCCGGTGACGGTTGAACGAACCTTAATTGCAAAAGCACATTGCGTCAGAGCTCTGCTTTCGTACCAGCCGCCGCTGGACTCACCGACACCCATGACCTTACATCGCACGCCATTCATTCACTGACGTGTATGGTTATTCCCCACCCTTCCCGCCTTCGTAGTTTTTGCCGTCCCATGCAACCGAATATTTCACGTAACAGAAAACCGTTTCACGCATGTTTCAGCTGGCCGCTGAGAATGGCGAAAGGAGTTTCGAGTGCAAACGTATATCGTCCCGCATCCCACGTTCCGCCCCCAATTAATCCTGACTGTCAAGTCATCCAAACAAACAAGCTGAGAGAAACGATCTACGTGAAGCCCACAAAGAAGACGGAGAGGGAGAGAGAGAGAAAAGGAATACGTGACGTCACGATGCGGGTATGCGTGACCACAACCAAACCGGGAGGACTCGGCCAACCTTCCGCCAAGCGCACCGCTGGGGCGACTTTCAAATGTTCCCGCTTCAGAGAGAGCCCGACCTCACGCGGGCGGGCGCGCCTTCGGAAATCCTCTTTCGCGCGTCACAGAAACTCGTCTGACGCAATCTCCCATCCTCCCTCCGCCGCGTCAAGCCGACAAGCAACCCCCGTCCGTGTCACCGCCGCCGCCGCCAGCAAAATGCCGTCACACGCCGCAACCAGCGAGAAAGGCGATCGCACGTGCTCACCCATCACACGCGCACACAAACACAGCCTCGCACCCAAAACTCCTTCGCCCCTTGCTATGGAGCGAAGCGAACGCTCACTACGCTTAGCCGACTTCAGGCTTGCGGCGTCACGCGTGTCACGGCCCATTTCGTGCGCGCCGGTTGGCTCCGCAGGAGGCACAAAAAACGATGACGTGTCGGCTCCTCGGCCGCTGATTGGACAACCGGTTAAAGAAACCGTTAAATTTGCTAAACGCGGTTGGCTGCTCCTACCGGTGGCCTTCAGCAACAGTACAAGTTAATAGTAAGAAAATAAATATGAACGCCTTCTTTCTTTCATTGGGAAGTCCGGAGATTGCTTGCTACGCCGCCTCCGAGCTGACGGTCTTGCGAGCCGATCCCGTAGCTGATGAACGGCGTCAAACGAAACAAATAAATAAATAAAATTATGCCACGAAGCACTATACTCATTTTCACCTTAGGATGGACCGCAGCTGACGCTACGAGCCATCGAAACTAATCCAGTAAGTGTAACCTTCGGGAGGGGCGCAGTGAAGCGCAGAGGGCGTCGTCACGTGCCAGGTTCAGAGCGTTGGATTGCCTTGGGTGGCTCGTAGCGTCCCCTGCGGTCCATCGTCAAGTGAAACCGAGTGTACAATGTTGACAAGGGGGAAGGGATGTCTCTTTAAAGTTCCGGTCGAGTTTTGTCCGGGAAGGAGCTGCGCGGGCGAGAAGCGCCCCACCGCTGTCGGCGCCGACGTCGGCGTCTATCGGGGTGAGAGGGGTCGGCCTCCGGACGTCATGTCCGCTCGATTACGACATCCGCAGCTGGGTTTCCCGGCCTGGCTAGAAAAGTATCGCTCGGCCCGCATGGAGCGGCGGAGCGCACAAGCCAGTCGAGCAGGGGACGAGCAGCCGACGACGGTTCCGAAGGAGACGAGACAGGTGAGTCGATCCGACCGGCGCTTGATTTACGAAGACGCCCAACCGGGAGTCGTGTGCGGCACGTTTGGTGCAGGTGGATAGCGAAAAGAAAGCCCAAGTGAATAGAGATCTGTGACCGGGTTGCTGTGGTACAGGCTGTCTGCCGACCGCTTGTTGTTGGTCTCTTTCCGACTCTTTTATTATCGACAGCGATTTTCTTTCTTTTTTTTTTTCTTTTTGCGTGGGGGCTGAGTTTACTCAGGGACCTGTCCTTGAGTTCTCCCGTTTGCCAGTTTTGAAATGACGCGTGCTCTGTGTGCGTGTAGCCGTCTTCTTCTGCTTAACCACTACCCAGTGTTTCTCATGATGTTTAAGCTCTGAGATTGGGAAGGAAACTTGAAGATATCTTAGAAAAAAACAGAGAAAGGTGACAGACGAGCGTCTCATACTCAGCTAACAAGATGCATTTCATACAACGCTTTTCTCACCATTCTCAGGTTTAAACATCATGATTAATACGCACCAGCTCGCCTGCACGTTGACCGTTTTTTTAATTCATGTTAGTTAATATTTTGTTTTGCACAGAAAGTTTCGTATTTGATGCCAACGGAGTAGAATAATATAATGTGACCTACGAGGAACCCATGCGCGTCAGTTTTAACAAGCTTCGTATAAAATACTTTGTTTTAATTTATGAAAACTAAACGTATAAATTCTAGGTTCGTACGAGAGACTAATGGTTAACATGCACCTTTTAAATTTAGGGTAAATACGCCCTGTATCTCGTTTGAAAAACAAAAAGAAGTCGCAGCGTTTCAGAAGGGATGTCTAAATGTACCGCAGAGTATCAAATATGGCGTCAAATATGAGCAGATCCGGTGACTATATATGATCAGATTGCGGAGCTGTCAGATCTAGTTCTATTTTATATTTGATAAAATGTATTTTGTATGTATATGTCGTATGTTAGATACATATCTCTAGAAAATTGCAAGAATTAAAGCAGTGAAGAGAAGATTTTGGTTGAACGTGGTCATGACCCATGTGGTGACCGACAACAACCAATTAGAATGCGTTTTGCAAGATCTTAGCCACTTGCATGTGCCGTGCTTCAACACGCTGATTGCACGTTGTCCCTGAGAAGATCCGCATTATTGACACGAGTTTGGAATTTTTGGAGTAGTGTCATCGGCAAATACCTTATGAAGCCATTTAATTCGCGCTCATCAACAATGCAACTGCTAAGCTTTGTGTAAAGTGTTTTATTACTTATGCTTAAAACCCCGAGACAAGGGAACAAACGAAGAGAAAGAAAGCGGACAACAAAACGACGTTGTTTCCTTTTTCCTTTCTCGTCGCTTAGCCCCTTATCTCGGGGTTTTAAGTATAAGTACAATCGTTCATCAGGTAGTTTGAGCCATTACCCTAATTTCAGAGTTCTCTTTAAGCTCTCAATCCACTAAATACCCGTGATCAAACTACGAATTGTCGAGCTCGTATTTGGGCTTCTGTGTGCTCTATTTTCAATGTGGAACGCCCGTAAAATATTACCGTATAATATTTAGGAAAATATAAAGCGGTCTATAGTTTTTCACAGCTTAAGAAACGCATTGCAAGTAATGTTTACGCTTTTTTGTTTTAGGATTTAGTTTTCGGTGCTCTCATCGCCTAGTCATGCAGTCGGCTTCGGAGCAATAATATGGTGCTTGGGACTCACCTTGCCCTTCGCTTCCTAAGCGGCCAGTGATTATATTAAATTTGGATAAGTTTTCTTTTTTAAACGAATTCTTTTATGAAGTGTGGAGGGCGTCACTTTTTGTCTGTGTCACCACTCTTGAAACACGCAAAAGGAAAAGCGAATTTCACAGTGGCTCAGTCTGGGCCAGATTGCGACCCAGACTGTGTGAAGTCACACAGTCTGGAAGCCATCAGCCAGGCTGACGGCTTCACACAGCTTGGACTGTGTGAAGCCATCAGCCTCTTAGCTTAGACTCTGTGGAGGAAAGGCATGCCAAGCTTGAGGCGCGCAAGAGCTTGCGACTTCACTTTACGTGCCGCTCCGCTCTTCGGCGGCGCGTTCTTTAATGCGATCTTAGCTAAAACGCTGATTCTAGCAAACGGGTCGAGAAGCGTTTTAAGGTAAAGTCGGCGATGTTTTTGCCGGGAATGTTCAGTCGCGTGACGTAAAGAGCGCGAACGTACACATAACCACCTGCCACAGGCCGTGCCACCGGCCCGTCAGCCATTGAAACGCACTTGACGCACGTACGCACGAGGAAAACTAAATAAGACGGGCGGCGACATTCACTATACATGTTGTTGGCTGGGCTCCAACCTGCATTTACTTCATACCCTTTATTGTACCTTCTTTCCCTTCCAGACCAATTACCTCACCATGACCCGCCTGCTATGGCTCTTCGCCGCTATTACCGCGTCGTTAGCGCAAGACGACATCAGCCAAGACAAGTGGAAGCTGGCACGAGCCAACAACTACCTGGGGCTCAATCTTCTCAAGCAGCTTCCCAGCAACGACAAGACCAACGTGTTCTTCTCCCCGTTCAGCGTGTCCACAGCCATGGGCATGGCCTACGCCGGCGCCCGCGGGGACACCCTGGAACAGTTGACGCTGAACTTTGGTTACGCTGCGGATGAACTCAACGAGGGCAAGGTCCTCGCCTTGTTCAAGGAACAGCTCCAGTCGACCAACGACCTGCCGCACGACTACACGCTCAACATCGCCAACGCAGCCGTGGCCCAAGAGGGGTACGGTATCCTTCCTGAGTACACCGACGCACTCACAAGTTCCTTCGGTGCCGAGTACATCGAAGCCGACTTCCAGAAACGCGGTCAAGAGGCCATACAGAAGATCAACGCTTGGGTTAGCAACAGGACACATGGGAAGGTACAGAGTTTGTTCGACGAACCACCGGACTTCTCGACTCGGTTAATCCTCCTCAACGCCATCTACTACAAGGGGACGTGGCTGTACGAGTTCGACAAGACGAAGACGAAGCCGAGGTCGTTCTACAATGGCGGTGTCGAGAAGGTCCAGGTACCCATGATGCGGCTCAAGTCAACTCTTAACCACACCTACAACGCCATCCTCAACGCTGACCTCGTAGACCTGCCTTACGTCGGCAATGACTTCAGCATGACCATCATTTTGCCCAGAGAAAAAACCGGATTGGCTTCGCTCAAGTCGGTTCTGACGTCGCAGACGCTTAACCTTGCCCTCCAGAACATGTACCCCAAGGACATGAAGCTGAAACTTCCAAAGTTTAAGCTGGACACCAAATACACTCTCAAGCCCACGCTCGAAGCCATGGGCATCACAAAGATTTTCTCGGCCGACGCCGATCTTTCAGGTATCAGCGGTTCGCGAAACCTCTACGTGTCCGATGTCCTACACAAGGCTGTGCTGGAGGTCAATGAAGAAGGCAGCGAAGCCGCTGCCGTTACGGGTTTTGTCATCCAGCTAAGAACGGCCGCGTTTGTGACGCCGCCCCCGTTGCCAAAGGTGTATGTAGATCATCCGTTCATCTTCCTCATCAGGAACTCTAGAACCAACACCATCATGTTCCTGGGTGAGATCAACGCCCTCTGAGTCATCCTGTACAGAGAGTATATTTGTGTTCGTCATTTTGTAGTTTACTTCAGTTGTAATAAAGAGTCATTTATGTTTCGTTGCATTTTCCAACTCGATGTATGCGGTCTGTTACTTGCGAGAGGCTTTTGCAGGTCGAAAGCTTAATTTATATTAAACCTCTTCCCGTGGCTTTACAGCACTAGGAAAACGAAATCAAATGCTGGCATTAACTGTTCTGGTGCTTCATATGCAATCCCCTTCTTGATGCCAAATATGATTCACCAAATACTGGTGCATAAGAAGTGAAAGCCATTGTCTGACAAGAGCTGTTCCAACCTTGTGCCTTACGAAATATACCATTTGTTTTCTATTAGAACAGATCGCCGAGAAAAACAATGAAGTGTTATCTCGCCACTGAAATTCTTTTAAGTAGTGGTATGTTTGAATACTATCTGGTAAATGATACGTGATGATTTTATACGATTCCACGTTGCTGTGCCCTTTATGTTAAATTCATTTTTTATTTAAAAAAAAATGTACAATAAACTCAAACATAACTTCGTGTGCTCATGTTGTTTGCCGTGTAATGCTTTGTTTTCCGTAGAGCAAGAGGTGTAACAACGAAACATTGCGAAAATTATTACCTTGTATCACTAAAACGCGCGAAGAGTACGCGACCACTTGCCAGATGGCAAACATATAAAAAAAAAAATAAGCGAAAAATGTTTTAAAATGAATGAAGCTCGTAACACAAGCCTGACTGCCCGGGGCAACGGTTTCGTCATTCGACGTCACGGCAAAATAGCAGCTATCAGCGTTGTGTTTACCGGCCGCAGCTTCTCTCTTACATAGAAACTAGAAACGGTTTCGCGACGTGTGCTGAGTACAAACTACTGAACAGCGTGGGAACTAGAGGCATCTAAAACTAGTATCGTTTTATTCACTATCCTCGCTGAATAATAAAGACATTGAATCGATGTGACCGTTTTTTCTTATATCACCTATCTTGCGTGTGGAGTACGGCAGACGGTGTATAGTACGTTACACTTTAAAAGCGTTCGCAATAATTATTTGTTGACGTTGCCCGATTTCTCCGTCACAAAACGTTTTGAATTCTTTCATCTAAAGCTGTGGGATTGGAATGCGCACTATACGTATAGTGTATTCGCACGCTTGGTTTAGTTATTTTTAGTTGGCGTCGGATCTCGGTTCAAGGTCACGGTCACTACATGTTTTCTTCCAATGTTCATTGCACGTCACTTATAAAATTGGCGGTATACATATATTTCGTCGAAGCAACGTGGAGCTATTTTCCTCGTGATGTTTCTTTGCCCGTGTAAGCCGGTCTAATCAAAGTGAAATGTTTAGCACTCTTTTTTGCGTGTGTACAATGATGAAACTGTTTCTCGATGATAATTTGATTCAAGATTTTTCCGAAGCTTAGAAGCAAACCAAGTTATAACAAAAAACGATAATTACGGATAGTATATCGACGTTCCCTTAATTCTAGCGATAAACTCTGTTTCTTGCTTTTTTCCCCCGTTGAATGAAGAATGCAGTAATGCCGAGCGCTTCGCACACTAACGTTCTGTTTACATACCAGCCTTCGTTTGCCCACACCAGGCTCGCGTGAAATGAATAGTCTGCGCATGGGGGGCGCAGTGCCGACCGCAGCGCCACCCAAGTGAATTGACATCAAAGAGTTGAGTTGAAGCGTAAAGTTGTCGAAACAAAGATCTGAACTTGCGCGTTGTTTTTTCGCGCCACTTTGGGTTTTCTCAACAGACACGTACAATAAAACGCGTGTACTGTGCCACAAACTGCGTTAATAAAAAGTTATCGAGTTACCAGTTTATTGTATCGCTTGAATGGAACAGTAAGGCCAGGACATTATACGTGCCAACGAAGCAACCCAAAGTGGGAAGCCTAACCTTGGGTGGGTCGCAGCGCGTGTGCAACTTAACAATCATCCGTGGGATTGACGTCACATTTTTGCTGAACAATAGTAACGCGTGCACTTCTAACCTAATTCAAACTATCGGAAGATATTGCAAGTTCATTAGTTACCAAACAACAAATTACCTTTAAAAACAACACACCACCTCGGTATTTTCAATAAAGGGTTAGATAATTTCTTTTCTTTTTTGGTTTTATTGTATCCGAGGCTTAAAGCTAATTTATTGTTTCTCCACCATCTCTGGATGATTGTATCAACAAAAAAAATGTGCGCTATTTGTGAATATCGTGCGAAAATTGATCACTTGTCTAATATTTCTTTGACCTACCTTCTCTTATCTGCAGTTAGATCCCCAAAGAACGAATCGCGATGCTAGATGCGCGAGCATAATGAGACCTATCCTGCGTTTCGTAAGCTAACGATGTGATCTACAAGCGAAAACAGGTACTTGAGGTGACAGTTGTTATTAGAGTATTATTTGTATATAATATTGAAATTGAGAGTCTAATATTCTTAAAATTTGCCTTCACTCTCAAGGCTCGTTCGCACATTTGCGTCGACCACGTTGCATAGCACTTCGTCGTGCAGCACAGCGCCTCCCCATTGGCTCGTCGCAAGGGTCGCCATAGCAACAGCTTGACGCAAGCAGTCTTAAGTTTTAACACAGTCAAATGCGTCTGTGTGAACGAGGCCTTATGTGCAAGATATATCGTTTTAGAGCGCAGCTCTTAGGGGCCCGTTCCCGGCTTGAGCGGCGTCGGCGTCGCCGTTGGCGTCGCCGTCGCCGTCGGCGTAACCAAGGTCATCCCAAGGTCACGTGGCCCCCAAGGTCATCCCACGGTCACCCCGAGGTCACGTGACCCCCCCCCCCCGGTCACGTGACATCCCCCAGGTCACGTGACCACCCCCAGGGTCACGTGACCCCCGCCGAGGTCACGTGACCTCGCCGATGACGTGTCAGTGATGGCGGTGAGGTCATCAGTGACGTCACTGATGACGTCATCAGTGATGATGACGATGACGATGCGGATGCCGGTGACGTCATCAGTGACGTCACTGGTGACGTCAGCAGTGATGATGACGATGACGATGCGGATGCCGGTGAGGTCATCAGTGACGTCACTGATGACGTCATCAGTGATGATGACGATGACGATGCAGATGCCGGTGACGGTATCAGTGACGTCACTGGTGACGTCAGCAGTGATGATGACGATGACGATGCGGATGCTGGTGAGGTCATCAGTGACGTCACTGATGACCTCATCAGTGATGATGACGATGACGATGCGGATGCCGGTGACGTCATCAGTGACGATGACGTCAATGGGGAGGTCACGTGACCTCGGCGGGGGTCACGTGACCCTGGGGTTGGTCACGTGACCTGGGGGTGTCACGTGACTTCGGGGGGCATCCGCATCGTCATCGTCATCATCACAGATGACGTCATCAGTGACGTCACTGATGACGCCACCGACATCCGCATCGTCATCGTCATCATCGCTGATGACGTCATCGGAGTCCACATCGTCATCGTCACTGATGACGTCATCAGTGACGTCACTGATGACATCATCGGCATCGTCACGTGACCCCCCAAGGTCACGTGACCCCCCCCCCAAGTCACTTCACCCCCCAGTACTCTTCCCTCCTCCTCCTCAAGAGCTGCGCTCTAATTCGGTGTTACAGGGAGTTGTAAACGGCTTTCACTTTTTTTTTCTTCTTCTTTTTCTCGTCTGTGAACGATAATTTTTGATCAATTTCAGTTTGTTTTACTTTGTAGAGAAGCAATTTTCGCTCGTTTAGCACTTTTTTGTTTGTACATGCGGAATTTTGTAAACGTCTTGCACAATTACGGGAAACTGGCCCTTGTAAGGCTTGGAGGATTTCCCAAGTTTCACACTGCAATCTCTTTTCTTTGACCGTCCATCGGTTTTGACGGGAACATAGTTATTATTATCATTAAGATGCCACCAATTATAACGAGGAAAATGGGCACATCCTAACTCTGGAACCCTTAAGAAAAAGTCGAATAAGAAACAAAAATCAAAATTAAAAGCTGGGATATAAAGTCAATTGAACGTTCTATGGACGCCAGGACGTAATTACGATGCCATTAAATATGGCACGTTCGCGTAGAGGGTGCTTGTTTACTCCTCATATAAAACAGTTGTACGTGCGCGATGCCCTTGAGGCTGGTTTGGTTTATCATTTGCTTTTTGTGGAGGGTGTTTCTCCGCTAGCTGCTTGAATATCTTTCGCTCGACGTGTTTTACCAGGAGTCCCCCCCCACCCCCCTCTTCTTACCCTTCCAACTTCTAGGATTCTGATTTCTACACTTCTTGAAACAAGAATATAAAACACCTCATGACCTTCTACGCAAATAAAAAAAAGAGAAATATTGTAGGTTTTTTTACTAATGCGTCTTAACATTTCTGCAAAATTAATCTGACATGTCGATGTTAATGAGTGTAACGTTACTCGGTACTTTATAGGGTCTGAATATGAAGATGTATCTTATTCCGATTGTAACAGGGTGATTCCACGTCAATTCATGCAATGATGGTCCGGGTCATATTTTAGATATTTTTGTTAAAGATATATATGAAAGCCATGTTTTTGGGAGGAACATTCAGCTAGATATGAACGCCGTAACAATTGTTTTCGCTGAGATATAAAATAGAGAAGCTTGAGGCGTGGAAATTGAGAAGATTTCACAATGCTACTTTGCACAGTAGTCATTTCCTTATCGAACCTTTCACGGCACCATAACTTTTTTAATGGCTTTTACGAAGGTTATACAACACATACATAAAAAATTAAAAATATCCATAAAATATTGCAATGCAAACAAAAATATCAAACATGGCACAAAAACGCGTTTTGGAGACATATTCACAATTTTTTTGCAAATAAACCATCTTTCATAATACTTCACAAAACATACCAAAATGCGCGTATTGAAATATTATTTACGAATATATAAAGATAATATGCCCACCCTTAAACATATTTTTGTTATCAACGCGGAAATTCGGCTGATTTCTCAAAATGTGGCAAGATTGGGCGTCGATATTTAAAAAACTCCATCTTTTATTTTCTTTAAACTCCCCTTGGCACTTTGCAGTGACTTGAACTAACCTGTGATGGCAAA